TTCTAGGTTGGTTATATTTGCGTCTAAAAACTGATAAAAAGTTAATTTTGAGCTGTGAATTATAGTAATTAAAATGAGTTTAAATTAAATTTGGTCAAGTTATTGTTGTCAGATCTTTATGAAACTTTGGATACATATTACAGGTGTTAAATAAGATCATTTGGTCCTTCCAGAGTGACTGTTGGACGACGTTTAGACACATATGGACGTAGAGCAGGCACATGGGTATGTATGTATGCATTGCAACAGCAGCTAACCATAAGATATGCATTGCAACAGCAGCTGACCATAATATGCAAAAATATGCATAACCTATATCTAGAAGATCCATGTATACAAGATAACAGGTTATATGACATTCTCAAGCCACCATGCCAACATCATATTTGGTTAGACCAGCTTGCGAATGACAGGTACATTGAATGAAACATGATCACCTGGTGAACAACAGGCAAAAGAAAAAGAAAGAAAACTAAAGCGAACGACTGTCCTAAATTTGCAATGTTTAAGTAAAAGTACTTTAGGACAGACTATAGACCATTTGCTCTGCAGGTGGATATACTCCTTATTTGATCTAAATACACACACATAAGGAGCAGGAGAAGCCACTGTATCTAAATACACACACATAAGGAGCAGGAGAAGCTACTGTTTTATACTACAAGAAATGGACAGCAGATTCTAAAAATTGCACTTGACCGTATACTAACAGCAGATTCTGTTAACCATAATGTTGTGTTATCCATATGAGTTTCTTCTGTTTTTCCATATATACTATAGACAAATATGTTATCTTAACGACTCCATATTAAAAATCAAAAGAAAATTATAAATAAGATATTGAAAAAGGCATTATAACCTTTTGATCTTTAACAAAATGAGATTGCAAAAAGCATTGGTATTATGTCCACCATAATAGTACCTATTTTCATTTAAATGGTTTAGGGTGGCACATAAAACAAATCAATGGAATAACTTGGCATCATGTGCATACAACAACAGTAATACACATTAAATCACTAATCTTGAAGGATACTAAGCCATGCACAGATTAGCAACTACTGATGTGGCTACAGAAGTGGCTTGTAACTATGCTTTCCAAGTGTCAATGCAGGTGGAATCAGTTACTCATCATGAACAATAGGTAACATGTTTTGGTTTTCTATAAAGCTGCTGGTAACTATGTTGTTTATACTACATAGTTTCAACAGCAGGCAACACTTGCTGTTGACAGATAACACATTAAACACACACACACACAACACTATGCTGTCCCAAACAAGAATTTACATTAAACTTGATTTTGCAACCTGTCCCAAACAAGAATGCAGTCCCAAAAACTATCAAAAACA